AGGGTTAGAGGAGGGGACATGGGATTTCTTTTGAGTATAATAAAAATATTCAAGAATTTTTATTACACAATAAAAATGGTGATGGTTACACAAATTTGTAAATATACTACAAACCACTAGAGTGTGTTGAGAGGATTTGATAGTATGTAATTACATCTCAATAACAAACACACAGAGACATAATCCCTAAAATAGGTCTTCAGCTTCTACTCTAGAGCATTCTTCTCTTTCTGAATAAAGAGGGAMAAATTTTAAAATGCCTTTTCCAAAGACATCAAGTAAAATCACATGAAAATATGTAGAGAAATATTAAAAACAATGCTTCAGCAACTTTTCTATTAACTATGACTACACAGAAAAATCCAGATACTGAGGCCAAGACCTGCATTTGTCAAAGATACCCAGTGGTATTCTGAATTAAAAAATTTAAAAATTAACCAAAGGAGACAAAGGCATAAAAAAGACTTCCTTGCAATGCTGCTCCTTCCCTTTGAAAATTTAATGAAAGGACTAGGCCGTTGGAATGCAAGTGGAGGGTATGTCACTAAACCTAAATTGGTGGAGCTAGAAGATCCCGGTTTGTTGTAGCTATATAGTCTTCTCTTGGTAACAGGATACGCAGCTTTATTCTCCTCTGGTGAATTTGTTTTACAAAGAAATTTACAGCTGGGTTACTGATGGGCTTTCCAGGGATTAGCTACATACTCATAAGAATAAGAGGCTAACCTCACCCTCTTAAACTTCACACACTACAATCCTATAGACAGCTGACAGCTACAGCCAAAGGAGGAAAAAAAAAAAAAAAAATCCAACATTTTGCTAATCCTTAAACCAATCATCTCATGCAACAGTGGAGAGCCCTTCCAGTCTACAACTCAATCTCCTAGGGAGACAAAGTTACCTCCTGTGAACACACCATGAGTCTGTATTTGGGGCCATCCCCTCCACAAACACACAGATATCACCTAATACCCTCCACTATTTTTATTTCATACTAAGTTGCTTGAAAGCAGAGTGTTATAAATTTTGTGGAAATATACAAAAGCACTGCTATAGGAAATTTTTTCACATTTTCTTATACCTAACAATCAGCACAACTAGAAATCTGGTATTTTGTGGATAGAAGGACAATCTCCACTGGTCATCTGTCCACTTCTTCTTTCTTTCTCCTTCCAACTCTGTTACAACGGTGCTTGTAACTCTGGGTCAACAAAGGCACTGCCCTCCATCTTTACGTTGTGTGAGGAAGCTAAGAATGTCTTGAGTCACAATTTTGCCCTCAACTCTGTCTCCATCTGTTCTTAAAGCAACTTTTTCCTCTTGGTTTGGAACTTTTAAGTTTGTTCATCAAAAGCTAAATGGCAGAGCTTTTTCACTGCTGTGTCCTTATTAAAAGGCACTCAAGCACAACAGCTTAATGGCAGGAGCAGAGCATCTGGCTGGTCTAATCTCAAATACCCACTTCCATGAAACCACTAGAAAAGGCAAAGGAGGAGGTGACCTGCTGCTCAGAGCAATCACCCCCACAAGGGCTTGGCCAACTGGACCCTAGATCTGTTACAGACACTTAGAGAAACCACAGATAAACTACAATTCAGAGAGTTGAGACCAAAAGGTGGGTGTGAGGATGTAAGGGCTGCCACCAAGTTCTTATTCCCACAAAAGCCAATGTATTAACCCACCTGCACATGGGGACCCTGACATAGGTTAACTGCACAAGGTCACAAAAGCAGTAAGTCACATAGTCAAGTGTCCTGCCCAAGTCCCTCTGATCCTGGACCATGCTTTTTATCAATGCAATACATGTAAACAATGTTATATGTATTACCACAAACACCATGAAGTTGGGCAACAGGTGGCTAGAAATAAACAACCATGCAATTGTTCTCTTTAAAAAATAAAATCACACCAGGCATGGTGGTGTACCCTTGTAATCTCAGCTACCAGGGAGGCTGAGGACAGAAAGATCACAAGTTAGAGACTAGCCCCAGCAAGTGTGCATGATCCTGTCTCAAAAAATAAAAAGAGGGCTGGGGATAGCTCAATGGTCAACAATCCCTGAGTGCAATCCCCAGTACTGAAAACAAAAACACTAACAAAAATAGTAGTTTCACCAAATATCAACTAAAAAGCTTATCATTCTTAAATATAGGTACTGTATGTAAATTGAAGGCAGGTGGAAAAGAATTAAAATTCAGTATTCTCTGTTAGTCAGGAAAAGCTAAGACTTCTATTCTGTGCAAAATGGGCATCATTCATTTACTCAACAAGGACTGGAGGCCAAAAAAGAGTTATGACCTGTCTCTTTCCTCTGAAGAGAACCCACAGGACAAGAACAGACTGAGCTCACCTAGGAGCCCCGAGTCCTTCAGAACATTTAACTTTTTCCAGGTTTGCTGAAGAGAAATATCTTGAACCCTGTCAAGCAAGCAGTAAGCTCCTTGATTGTACCTTAAAGGGAATGAGAATGTTTCGGCTCATTTGCATTTTAAAGGGTACTCTTTCATGATCTTTCACACTTGTAATAGATGTCTAAACCGTTAAATTACTATTTCTTTTCTTAGCCTGAAAGTCGATGTAGACTGAGAGCATGGCCTCTCCCATTGTTCTTTACCCTAAGTCGGTCCCTGAACAATACTGACAGCTGCTATCAAACTAGGCTGCATTGACTCTGCGTGCAGCTGCTGCTTGTAGGAACAGACAGTCTCCCGGTACCTCCTCCCCTCTGGGGAGACAGGTTGACACACTGCATGTTCAATGAAGGGGTACAAAGGTCCACTGAATTGTCAACCCAATTTTATGCTACTTCGATTTTCCAGGATGCACACAATTCCTTTCAAGCAAAAATCAAGCATATGCCAGAGCATTAAACTTACGGTGTGAGATAATTATTGATCACTGCAAACTTTAAAAGAACCTTCTGACATAAATTAATATACTGATGTAAAAATTTCAATGACAAAAGCTACCCAGGCCAGGATACTGAAGACAAGCAAGGGGCATAAATCTTGTGTTGGGCTCAATTCACCAATTTGGGTTATTGTTGCTACACTATCAGACCTAATCTGCCTTTATAATCTCAACAACATTTTCCCTGGACCAAAGCCATTCGTAAAATTAGCGATTCATCTGCTCTTCTAAAACGACCTGTTTTTACTCTCTGCTTCAGCTCAAAATGGGTATTACCTATAAACATCTGGTTAATGCAATTTCCTCCCTTCTAAAGTGTAGGTCCAAAGGAGATTCACAGGTCCTGGGCAGTGCTTTTGAGAATTTAAATGTAAGCATTTTACCATTGAAAAATTACATGTGAAAATTTAGAGCCGCTCAGAAAACAAACATGTTCCACAAAGTTGAACTGGGTACTTGAGAACTGCTTTGCATATGTTTTCCTTTAATCAAAACAGGCTTTTCCATCCTCATTCATTTGGGTTAAAAAAAAAATTCTGTGCTCCAGCTACAAGTACAATTCGCTATTAGTCTTTGCTAATCAAACACAGTACATGCAAAAGTACCAGTGAATATTTGATTTGATCTCTAAAATAAAGCAATTCATTACACAAGAAAAGGGTACAGAAGGCAGCAGACAAATGCAGATGTAATTGTGTTTTTTGTTGAATGTGATTAGAGAGCCCACTAAGTAACAGTCAAAAATGTGATACTGAAGGGGAAGAAAGGCAGAGCCTAGATCTGGGGGAAGAGGAGGGAGAATTGTTTATGCAGAGCTAAGCTGTCAAGTGTAATAAAGCAGCTTGAATAAAATTTAAGCTGAAAATCCACTGAAGCTCCCCATTTCAGGGAGGAAAAAGCTATTAAAAGGAAATGAAGGTCACCCTCCCAGTTTATTTCACCTAATTGACTGCCAATAGCTTACCACAGGCAACCCAACTGCAGATCTGCAATTGAGAAACTGATGAAAGGAGAGTTTTCAAGCTGAGGCTCATTCTTTAATCCTCCTTGGCTCTTATGTTTTTTCTCCATCTCCAGTTGGGATGTAATTTTAAGCCCTGATGGATTAACTGGTTCCATTGTTTGTGGCCGTCATTGGACTATGGCACTCTTAATCCGTACAGCAGCATGTCTAATTATCATTACAAAGTGTCTGAGGGAACTATAAAGACCAGCAGGGCATCTTCTCACAAGCAATTAACATAAATTGATAAATGAGTGATTTGAATCTGCTCAAGGCATTCACATATGAATAAAATCAGAAAGAACCCTCCCCTGTTTCAGCAACTTCTTTCCCCTGGTCTGGAAGGGGGACAGCACATGAGAACCATCCTGGGTCCTGTGGTGGGCAGAGGGATGAACTCATGCAGGGGATGGAACACACAGTTCACCAGGTTCCTTAATGCGGAGCAAATGACTTGTGATTGACAACCAGTCGGCAAGAAGCGCTAGCTGAACTCAACAGAGAGCAGGAAACCACTGAAAGGCTAGAGAGCAGTAGGGCAGACAATTAACACTTCTTCCATGGCRAGAGAGCGCTCTTTCATTGGTGCGCCACTTAAAAATTCATGAAAGAGACACAAGAAAGCAAAGGAGCAAACAGTTACACAGGTTAGAATACCCTAGAAAGGAAAAGGCAAAGACAAAGAGAACTCCGTGAAATGGTAATTCAGAGACCTGGCCTGACCCTCACTGCGGTCCAAAGCTGTAAGACAGAAGATAGGAAAGTATTTAAAACTCTTGACTTACAGCTTTTACTCAGCTAATGGAGCAAGGGTGGTTTAAGTGTCATAAGAATGAGCTACACTTATTTTCCCATGGAAAAGCAGATTTCCCCATTCCAAAACATCTCTCCTATCAGCTTCCCTATGCTAAGCCCTCTTCCCCTGTGCATCTCAGCATACTCCACATCCCCTGCTACCCTCCCTTATCAAACAATTCAACATTAAGCTACACACAATTATACACAAACACATATTAAGACATCAAACTATTAAGAAATGAAAGCTGGTTATACACACTGTAGGAGGTAGACCTGGTAGGCCACGTACCCCGATGATGGCATTCAACTCTGCCATGGTCACCTGTTTGGCACGTTCGACAGCCTGGGCCACCTGTTGTTGATGCTTTGAAAACAGGGAGAAGAAAACATGTTAGCAATAGCCAAGAACGTCCCTTTACATTCTAATAACAAAAACACAAATGCTGCGTGCTGTGTAAGCTGAATGCAGTTTAAGGGTTTAAACAGGGCACTTCTCCAGCACRCAGTATTCCAAAAACAGGAACAGGAAACTAAGAATAGTGCTTCCTTCTACTTCTCTCTTCCTTCTACTTGGGACTAGTCAGGGGCAATCTATCACTGACCTACATCCACAGCCCTTWCATTTTGAAGACAGCGTTTTACCATGTTGTCCAGGTTGGCATCAAACTTGCTATCCTCCTGCCTCAGCCTCCCCAGTAGCTGGGATTACAGGCAGGCACCAACACACCCAGCTTTCCCTGAATTTCTAACTTAACTTCTGATGGTAATTTCTGGCTTAGAACAGGACATGAAGAATGGCAACTTAAGGCCTTAGATAACAGAGAGAATGGAATTTAGAAGGCCACCCTGGATCACAGAACAGGTTTACAGTGATGAAAATAGGCAGATGAAGTTTACAGCAATTTTAAAACAACTGTTTCAATACTTGAAATGTAAACATCAAATCTGTGAGCACTTCTCTGATTAATAAATCTTGACCCATCAGCAGATTTGGGAAACTCTAGGAATTCCTTTTGCTCTTTTAGCCTTTTTTTTACCCTTCCCAGGGGAAACAGAAAGACCCCCCTCAGTTTCAGAGGATGGAAATTCACCCTGCACACTTCCCAACTACACTCCTCCCCCTCCAAAAAAAAAAAAAAAAGCCACAGGTTTGTTTGGGAGGCAAGAGACTAGTATGTAGGCCAAGATCCCTTAAGTCTAAACAACTAGATTCACAAGGCCTATAAATCAGCCTGGAACAGCAGGTGTCCACTAGATCTAACTCCTGAATTCTGACTCCTAGTCCAATAAGCACTTCACCTGTCTCAATATACATTCATCCTGCACACACTGCAAACACATTATGGCATTTATAAGGCGGTATCCAAAAGGAAGGTAAATCTTTTCAAAGCAAAACTAAAATACAGTCAACTTCACAGGTTATTCATATAAAGAGATTTCCCTCTCAAAAGAGTAAGGTTAAACCTCAAGAACATTGTATCTGAATAAAATGGCTTGGCTTATCTACATAGGTGACTCATTAAGTGGATAGAATGTAAAAAGTAATTTTACTCTATTCTCATCCACTTCCTCCATGGACAGCATTCAGTCAACCAACCTGATATATAGGCACAAAAAAAGGATCTACTTCCATGGTACTCTCTATTTAAGCAATAAAAAGGACACCAGAATCATCACAAGCTATCAAGCTTATACTACTCAAAACAAAAGCTTTATGTTGATAAGGCATTTCGCAGTTTTCCACAGAAAAAAATTAATTTGGGGTTGAACTATTGTCACCAATTCTACAGTGTGCCCTCAGACGTGTTAGACAGAATAGCAGGGGGTTTACACACTTCAGCTGTAACAGATGTTTTTTCAGGCTTGTTCCTTGTGATAAAATTAACATCTTAAAACTAGCTAATTTGCAAACAGAGAAGCAACATAATTGCACTTTAACAGCTGAACAGTTTTACTTACTTCCTGAGACAGAAATGGGATGACTTGTGCACAAATCGTATTCAATCTCTTGGCGATTTCAGTCTATAAAGACAAAGCCATACAAATATTTAGAATACTTCACAATCAAAAAGTTTCAAAAAGGTGAAACTTCATACCTTCCACACTTGCTTCCTCCTCTATTCTTACACTTGAAGGCTTAAGACTGTTTCCCTAGGTTACGTTACCAATATTTATCTTTAGATAACCAATAAGTATCAGTCCCTCGTTACCAAAGTGCAACTGCACACCTTACTGGCTACTTGGGGTAGTTGAATTGAGTCAGAAAATGCATGTGGTTTAAGGCTCTCGAGGGGTTTAAATCTGGAGATTGCAAGCCCCGTAATTGACTTTTCAATGATGGCATACCATAGCACATTTATATATAGTTATAGCAGGTTCATTCAAACTGGTGTTGGAAATCTTATCAAACAAAGGGGCCACTGACCTCCCTCCCACGATATCCCAACTTTAGCACAATGAAAAGAGAATTTTAATGCTAGTATCCTTCACTTTTAAAAATTCAAACAAACCAAGAAAACATCACTAAAAACAACTCAGGTCTAGAGTGTTTGTCAAGGAATACAGGAGAAGTGTTGCCAAAAGGAAAAGGCCAATGGTTCAAGAGAACATAAGAGCATGTGTGCTGAGTGTCTGCCAGGAAAAGTACCTACTCAGCTACACACCCACAGCAGTCCCTCTGCTGCAGGGACAAACCAGTGAGGGAGGGAATGGAGGCTTCCAACCTGGGAAAGGATCTGGTTGCACCACCTCCAGTACCCTACAGCAATGCAAAGGGGCTCTGCTTTCCTCTAACTCTGAAGAACCAGTTCTGCTTTGCCAAAAAAAAGCATCTGTAAAGAGACCTACCATTGACCTTATTTGTTGCAACATTTTCTGTCTGTGCTTACTAAATGCTGCCTCTATTACTGAATTAGAACAATGAAGAGGATCAAGAGAAGAAAATTACAAAGCAAACAGGCCATGCCCTTGAGAAACAGAGAATAGAATTAAGTAAGATAAGGTAGAAACCCGAGAATTTTAAAATCAAGTATATAAAAAAGAGACCCTTTTTGTCTTCTAAAATGAATCCAGTTAACTGAGCAGCAAAGTCTTTGGTTTTATGGGATGGATGTAGCCCAAATAACCTAGTTCTCACAAGATCACCAATGAGAAAAGGTTATAGATCCTGCCATGGAAGAAAAGTACTTTAAGGGAAAATGGCTGGTATAGAAAGCAAACCTATGACCTTGCTTTAGCCAGTGGGGCAAACAGATATATGCAAAAGTAGTGCAGCTGTACCAGGTGCAAAAACAGAACTGGGTCAGCCACACCCAGTTCATTTGACCACAGCCACCCACTCAAGTTAACTCAAGGTCATGGCTCTCCTCGAAAGCACAGCAGGCTTCCCTTTCCTTTAGAACAAGGTTATGCAAAACACACACAAACAAACACATACACACACACACACACACACACACACGTGCATATACAGGAGTAGGGATGCTCTTTGTGGACTCCTAGGTTAAGTCTCCACACCCACCTACCACAGATTCCAACAGCATACATTCTGTACTTTCCCCTTCTCAAAAATCCACTTAACATTTTCCAATTTTAAAATTAACAGATGCATTGGAAATGGTGACACATGTCTGTAATCTCAGCTACTGAGAAGGCTAAAGCAAGAGAATGTAAATTAGAGGGCAGTCTCAGTAAAATAGCAAGACTCAATATAGTTTAGGACAGGGGATGTAGCTCAGAGGTACAATATTCCAGGGTTCAACCCAAAGTGCCTTTAAAAAAAAAAGATATATGCTTGGGCTAAGGAGTGTAGCTCAGTGGTAGAACACTTGCCCAGTATGCATGAGGCACCAGGTTTGGTGATGTTTTGTTTCTTAAGATATATACTCCCTTTGAACACACACCACATGCACACAGATGTATATGAACAGACAAAGAAAAGAAAGTTAAAATAACCCTAAGTCCATCATTCAGAAATATCCATAAGTAACATTTTGGTGATCCTGGGACACCATCTTTTCAGGCTCTCACTTTACATGCAGAAGCCCCTAGTGAGAATATACTTTTAAGACCAAGGGGTCCCACTATACCCACTGGCTTTCTATAATTTGTTGTCCACTCAAAAAATGGGTCACAGACCCCCTCCCAGTCAATACACACAGGTATGAATGACTACATCATGAACATATTCTACCATATAAGCATACCAAGATTTAAGCATTCCTGACACCAATGGGTATTTATCTTCATTTATTTTCCACAATTACAAGACTCAATGTCAAATAACTTTCCACAAGATCTCTAAAAGGAGTTTCTGAAAGTGAAAATCTGAGTCAAAGTGTGTACATACTTTAAAAATCATAATGCATGCTGCCAAACTGCCCCTCAGGAAGCTGCACCAATGCACATTACTGCCCGTCTACAAAGGTGCTTGCTCTCCCAGYGTCAATATTGGGTTTTCTTGACCTTTTTTGTTTTTTTAATCTTTATCCATCTAACAGATTAAAAAATGACCTCATTTTTATTTGAATTACTTGGATTTTTCCTGAAGTTAAACATCTTTTCATATATTTATTGGCCCATTGTATCGTTCCTTTCTCATTTTTTGCTGGTGTTTAATCATCATTTATCTTTTTGTAGTTCTTTACATAAAACAAATATCAACCCCTCATCATAGCTTGTCTAGCTTTCGACTTGTCTTTCAACCTTGCCTAATAAGTTGTTATATGGCCAAACCGAAGAAATTTCTTCCTATGCTTCTAGCCTTTGGGTAAGGATTGGAACATACCAAAATTAGACAAGCCATCCTTATTTGCCTTCTAGTGCTGCTACAGCTATGCTTTTTATACTCAATTACCTGATCTTCTGGATTTTATTTTGATTTAGGAAGAAAAAAATTCCTTCATTTCTAATTAAATAGTAACTATGTGTTATGTAACAGAACAGCTTGAAGGTAGACTTGAACATCATCATAGGACAGTTAAGACCCATTCTGAGTGGGATGAATGCATACTGTAAATCTTTAGCAAGATTAAAGTGATCAAAAAGTAAACAAGGTCAGGCACCACCCCAGCTACTAGGGAGGCTGGGGCAGGAGAACTGGTATATTCAAGCAACTTAGTGAAATCCTGTCTCAAAAATAAAAATAAAAAGCTGGGAATGTATCTTAACGTAAAGCATCCTTAGATTCAATCTCCAGTACCAATAAATAAATAAATAACAAAAGAAGTTGATTAAAGCAAAGATGATATAAACTGGTTTGGACTAAGTAAGACTGAAATGGGAAGAAGAAAGTTACAGATCAAAGCTCAAACTGATGTAGAATCATCAAAATCTGTACCATATGTCCTGAAAGTTCTAAATATATATTATGGAAAAGACATGAAAATAAAAGCCACAGGGGAGGATCTTATCCAAGCCATAGTCTCTCTCTGTAAACCCTAATGTTAAAACTATACTGACCAGTGAAATTGATTTTTTGAGCCAGATGACCTAAATTCAAGTCTTGCTTCCACTTCAAGCTGGTTTACCCTGCACAGGGAACAGTCTACCTCCTGGTCCTGTGAGGATGCAGCAAGCACTTGACAGTGCTCTGAGAGTTCCAAAAGCACCATCTTCCCTCCCTAGGGGGAATTCTCATACACTTCCCCATTCTGTCCAACAGTCTGGATGGCAGCAGCACAAAACCTGACAGAAATTCTTGGTATTACCTTCACTTCAACCCAAGATCACTCTGATAAGATTGTTAATTTAGCACCAACTAGCAAGCAGCAATGTTTCTCACCCTACTGCAGGTCACAGAGTCTGCAGATAGGATACACTGGATATTGGATGCTGCTTAAACCAACACTAAGAGAGTTCTCTATGACCTTTCCACACATTGCCTTTCACTTCTTCCAAAGATTAGAAATTCACAGGAAAAAAAAACTACAGACTGATGGAGCATGCTGGCACATGCCTGTAATTCTAGTTTGAGGCCAGCCTCAGCCATTTAGTGAGAAACTATCCCAAAATAAAAACAATTAAAAGGGCGGGGAATATAGCTCAGTGATAAAGCACCCCTGAATTTTAATTCCTAGTATAGAAGAAGAAGAAGAAGAAGAAGAAGAAGAAGAAGAAGAAGAAGCAGCAGCAGCAGCAGCAGCAGCAGCAGCAGCAACAACTGTGGGCAAATAGTATTTTCCACCCAGAAATTATTTTCCTGCTCAAAGCTGAATGTATTTGGTACCTGCTAGATCACAATGTTTATAAATAAACTTTTCCTAAACTTGCATTTCTGATACTACATAAGATGACAACAACAAAAAATTCAGCACTTATGAGTTATCCCCAAACCAAATGTGCAAGGAATCCTCCCACTTAGAAATGTAAGGAGCTGGGTAAAGGCCCCATCATCAAGCTTCACTTCAAAGACATCCTCTGCCTGATCAGTGGGCAGCAGAAAGCAGGGGTTCAAATCACCTATCTAGGACAATCTTTTATGCTCTTTGCCCATGCCAATTCCTCTCACTAATTTGCATATGACAGAGTTAGCCCTCATGATCCAAAAATTGAAGTCTGTCCCAGCAAACGAGAGCTAGGCGTCCCAGGTCTTCTATGATAGCAATAGGAACATCTCTAACCCCAGAGGTTCATCAAAATCAAGTGAGCTAATATATAAGTTACAGGTCTACTATTCCAAAGAGCTATACAAATCTCAGAGAGTTTCCCAATCCTTCAAGGCCTCCCTCAAATCTTGCCTGTGCCACCAATAAACACACTCTTCTCTACACTCTTCAAGWTCCTCCATTGCACTTACTCTCATTTGATAAACTAAAGCTACACGCTGCCACCACCACCTTACATAAAGCTCCCTCAGCCTCCTCAGTGCTTCCTGCAACCAGTCTTCTCAACACAATATGGGAAGCTAACAAGACCCCCACTAAATACTCTATTTCTTCCTCAGACCTTGCTCACCAAAACTGACCATGGGTACATGGACCAAGGTAAAACCAGATGAATTATTACTGAACAGTGCTAGAGTT